TACCGGTTTTAATAGAGTAGTTCCTATGACATGCAGTGTTTCAGGAAAATGCAGGAAATAAATTAAGCAGTAACTCCTACATCCAAGAACACAAAATTTTGTATTTTTTAAATCTCTGGCCTCTAGACTGTAATATAAAATTTAGAAAAGTACAGTTAGAAAGAAATCCAGTCTGTGTTCTTTAAAAAGTTTTTCAGTCTTCTCTAAAAATAATCTAAAAATGCTTGCAAAACCTTAAGTGGTCTTTATTTTCCTTTTTTTTTTTTTAATTGCTTGGAGTTTTAATTTACACAGGAATGATCATACATGTGATATTTCTGATTTCAAGTTTAAAAAATACTAATTTTAGGTGGCTTTCAGGACAGATTTATAACTAAGTGTGTAAGATATACTACCCTTCTTTCCCTTCAAGTAGTTTCTAGTACTTTGAAGTATCTTTTACATGGATATATGTGTATCTGAATAATTTGACATGTCAGGCAAATTTGCATCTTACGTAAATGGTGCATGCTAATATGAATTTTTCTATACTCTGCTTTTTAATCAACCTTTTCTTAAATGTATAGAATATACCAAGCAACTTAAAACAATAAATCACCTTTCAATGAAGGTGAAGTCATTGTATCAACTAACTTCAGTAAAGATCACCAAGGATAGAAAAAAGATGGCTTTTTATTACTGTGGCGATTTCCTCGATGAATGGGAACACCTCAGTTAGAAAATGGGCATGGAGGAAGTGTTTAACTCTATGGAAGCTAATACTGATGTTACAATATCTACTAAGAGATAACTTTTAATGTTTATTAAACTTTCCACATTGTAATTTGCAATGACAGAATACTGACAATAGCTTGTCATCTTATAAAAAAAATTCAAATAGCATCAAAGTGCATTTAAAAATTTTGTTTATTTTTTCTCACAATTGACATGCTGGGTCTAGTCAAAAACGAGTTACTTTTGTAAGTTGTGGCAGCCTTTGCCTGCTGTTTGATTATCCTAATATGGCTAGAGAAAGTAGGGTAATCTAAGCTGTTCTTTCTAGTAGAGATGAACGCCTCTTTGGTCTTTAGAAGGTTTTCTTTCAAAGTTGTTACTAAAGTTCAAGTAAATTCGAAGTAACACTTCATATTCTACTAAGTGCAGCAGGGAGACCAAAGAAGATGGCTGTGGTTATTTGCACTTGAAAGTGGCTCTCAGACTGTATCGGAAAGGTTAGAAAGAAGTAAAATAAAAATATCAAACCCAGAATCTTAATGGCACTAACATGAGATTTGATAGCTATATTTTTAGTGGGACATGTAAACTCCTTCTCTTTCAAATTTAATTCTGAAGACGCTACTGTTAATTACTATACGTTTTCTAAGGTAGTACTCTTCAGCTTTCCAACAGTTATAGTAAAACCCTAGCAAAAGTTGTTTGTGGTTTGGTTTGCGTTTTTTTTATTGCACTGGCTAAAACTTTACATTTAGTTGCATGATGAACAGTGAAAACTCCTACAGATGTCCCAGATTGTTTGTTGAATTTTGTCTGTGCATAAAAATAGCTGATTTGATGTTCTAACTGCAACTGGCAGTGAAAAAAAAGAAAATCAGTTCACTTTATTTTTACATGGTAACAAAACTTACTTTCTGATACCAGGAAATTGCTGACATGTAGACTTCCATATCTGTTCTAATATGGCTGTTCACTTTATCATTCCAGTATTGCAACTTTTGAAGAAATGATAGAGCCCTTCCGACTTCATGAAGATGATAAAGAACAAGAATTTGCAGACAAAATGAAGGAGGATGAACCATGGAGGATAACAGATAATGAACTTGAGCTTTACAAAACAAAGGTTCCTGTATTCTTTAGAGTGTTATGTTAAATGTTGTTAAACTTTTTCTCCTACTACATTTGTAGATGTGATACCAATGAGTTTGTTCTTGTAATTCTCTCTTTTTTGTAGCTCTTTTTATGAATAGCTGATGGAAAGTAGCATCTAAAACCATTTAGATGGTTCACTTTTAAAAAAAGGTTTCTGCATTTGAAGAGGGGCTGAACTGCTTTCCTATGTTATTTCAGCATTTCATTTGGAGTAATAGTCTATATTCAGCTGTGTGGGTTGGGTTTTTTTGTCCAAACTAGCATTTTTTTGCTTTGTCACTAAAAAAACCAAACTCGCGCACATCTAATTGTGGTCTTAAGGAGCAATTAAAGGTTTGACACTTTCTCAAGCAGTTGTGTACTATAAAGACATCATAGGTGTTAAAAAGTTAAAGTTTCAGTGATTTGAAGGTTCTTCAAAGAAGAAACCACAAAAACCCAAATAAACAAAAGAAAAAACAAAAACCCAAAACCCACCTATTTCTTAACTGCATATAATCGAGTGGCTGGAGGGCATGGGGAGCAAGGGTAAATTACATAAATTACAATTACATTGTAGTTAATGAACTTCATGGTGCCTTGCTGTTTCTCATGTCTACAAAAACCTGGAAAGTCATTTCAGTGAGGTAACTCAAGCTATTTATTCCTTCATCGGCTGATAGCTTAATTGTTTCTGCAGACACTAACGGGCAGGCTAACTAGACGTCAACTCATCTGAGAACCAACAGTATTATAAGAAACTTAACTCAGTATGTTTGATACAAAGTTAGTTGACATAAGTGAATTGAAAATTACTGAGGAAGATGTTAAGGCAGGATGGGTCAGAAAACAGAGGAGGCCCATTATGGAGACAGGTTTACCAAATGAAGATGGGGCTTCATTTCTGAAGGACCTTGGTTGCTGTCAGCTTATAATATGTAATTAAAAGAACCTCGAAGAGAACATAAGGGACTTCTGCTTCCAGGAGTCATGGAGGATGGTATCATCATTAGAGGAACTATCTTAAATTTAGCTTTCATAGTACTTGGCTTATTTGCACGTTTTAAGCTTACTGCTTTCCTCTCTCTCAGCCTTGCAACCATAGGTATTTTGGAAAAGTGAACAAGTCACCAAACTGAGGTGGAAGTACATTCTTTCTGTAAATGACTGATACCCTTTGATCATCACTGTTTTACATTTTTCTTGAATAAATGAACTCTTTGTAGTCTTACATAAAAGATCTTTCTAACAAGTTTCATTTTACTTACAGACTTACCGCCAGATTAGGCTAAATGAGTTGCTGAAAGAACATTCAAGTACAGCTAACATAATTGTCATGTAAGTAAATAGTGGTACTGTTATCCTAATTGGTACAGAACTGTAATTTGAAATATATGTAAATGCAGGTTAGGAAAAAGCCTGTGTCTTGGTGTTATAGAAATACTCATGAAGCTTTCAGTGCTGAAAATAATAGAAGTATGGAACTACTATACTGAGGAAAGAAAAATGGCCTTTGTAGTTTCATGCTTCTGATGCGCTGCTTTAGGTGATTACCTCCACATTTGTAGTGCAACTCAGGATTCTCGCATTCCTTCCACTCCTGCATGCCAACTATTCGCCTTTCTTTCAGGGTCCTTCCTTTCAGTTCTTCTAGGAAATCTCTGTAGATAAAGTTAGATCATCATCTTGCTGATGGCTTTCCATGGAATTACTTTTGGTGTAAACAAGAAGAATGCAGATAGTAGGTTTCTTCGCTGTCCTTTCCTTTAGGACCCTGCTTTAGAGCTCCAGGAAGTAGTACTGCAAGTGAAGTTTGAGTAGAGAGAACAGACTTACAGTACTTCTTTCAAAAGAAAAGATTATGGCATGTTTTGGAAGGATTGCAAGAAGGAATATTAGACTGCACCATCGTAAGAAAAAGCTGCATTTTATAATCTTAGGGAGTCTTCAAGAAACTGTCTTTAACTGAGGAGAGTTCTCAATGAAGTGATGTGAATACAAAATGGTGGTAAGAGGCCAAAAGTAAGGGGTAAATAGATGTAAAGTCCTCTGGTGCTTGAGGTACAAACTCTCAGCTCATTAACTGAATTCTGAGGAGTGGGGTAAGAAAGGAAAACAAAAAAGGTTAGGGAATTTGATTTAATATCTGCATCTTTATAGCTTCCATATTTATATTATATGACTTGTAGTCTACCATGATTTTCTAACTGTTGAATGCTTTTTTCCTTGTGAATTGTAGGAGTTTGCCAGTCGCACGAAAAGGTGCAGTTTCTAGTGCACTGTACATGGCCTGGTTAGAAGCTCTTTCTAAAGATCTGCCACCAATTCTCCTTGTTCGTGGGAATCATCAGAGTGTTCTCACCTTCTATTCCTAAGAGTACTGCATGTGGGACAGCTGTGATGAAATGGTACTTCAGCGTCCAAGGGAGAGTGACTGACACGGTCTGTAGTTTATGAACATCGCAAAGGCAAAAAGTGACTCTTCTTTCACTATTTCACTGACTTGAAAGCACACAAGGAAAGTCACTGTATTTCTAAAGTTGTGACATCTTCAGTTTTATTCTGTATTTTCTGTAATTTAATCTTGCTTAATGGGGGAGGATTCCTTGTTAGACCGAAGAACAAGACAAGCTTTTTGTTTGCTATTTGAGTAGCAGCAATAAAATGTTTTATTTTTTATCAGTGAAAGGATTATAGATTTATAAAAAGCCTTTTAGCCTTGAGGTGCCTTCTGAAATTAACCAAATCTCATCCATACATCTTATTTTGTAAATCTATGTAGAATGTCAAAATCTGCCTTCCCCTAAGATTTTAGATCAGACTTGTTTTAGTTTCTAGTCTCTCTTCCATATTCCAATAAAAATGAATGCTGCTTTTCAGTCTTCCATTGAGCTATTAGTTCTTAGTACTGTATGTTTTCTATCATCAGAAAGTTTTTGGTTTTTAATAACATCTGTTAGATTTAAAGGTGAGAATTGGGGCAGGTCATTTGAACTAAAATTCCTGATGCAATTGTGTAGATTCTGTGCTACTAAATTTTGTAACAGTTAAAATAAAAGTGATTATACTAGCAGAGAGGATGCTTTTCTCAAATTTAACAGTATGTGCTACCTTGGCATTAGTCTTGAGATACACAGCTAACGTTAGCTGCTGTGGTGAGGGATACTGGTCAGTCTTTGCTCTGTAGCTCTACTATGAAACTGAATTCATCTTAATGGCTGAAGCTTTTTATCTTACTACAAATTAGAAGAAAAGCAAAAGACCTGTCCTGGTTCTTGGCCTGTTATGTTTTGGTGTCACTTTCAACTTGCTTTGAACAAAACTCAACTTAAGGCTTGAATGGGGATAATACAAGCAATGTGATGCTATCTAACAGAAAACAGTAAACACTATGTGGAATCTTGCTATCCAATAGGAAATGTAAAAGCTACAGTTCTCTTGCTTTTTGCAACAAATGGTTTAAAGGACCACTAGTTACTAAGGGAGATGTTTTTAGGTCAGTTCATTTAGTTGTCAGAAAATACATTTATTCCTATTAAATAATACTCAGGTTTTATTGTCTAGCAATTCAGATCTATTCCATGCATCCTACTTTATACATTTTCTATGTTCAATAACAAAACTGCCAATCTTGTGTGCCCTTTCATTGTATATTTTGAAAACTTCATAATTTAGTGTACTATGAACACAAAGAAACACACCTACACAAAGAAACTTCACTTGAGCCTTTGTATAAGGTTAGTAATGTGAACTGTTTTTTTAAATTCCTAATATATTTTGGATAGAAAGGATTACCTAAAAACATTTTGCAAGCTTTTGATATTAGCATTGGACATGATACTGGATCAGTTTACCAGTGGTTGAGTGACTTTCATTTAAGGATGCACAGAAAAGGTGTATTTTTATGCTGAATACAAGATCAAGTTGAAATGTAACTCTTCCTTCTGAAGGACAAAGTTTAATCATTGTGTGGCAAGGTAGAGCTTCAAGTTACTGTCATTAACGATAAAAATACACAGTGCAGTATACACTGTTGTCAAGTTCTTGATAAACGGCAAAAATTTTTTTTTTGCTGTTTCTGTCAATTGGAATTAAGATTACTGGATCATTTCATTTAAAAAAAATTAATAAGAAAAACAAACATGCATGTTTTGCTGCTAAGTGTGAAATAACTGAGGCCAGCATGAACCCAGCTTGTTATGATAAACATTATAAGACAAGACAGTTTGCAGTAAAAGTGCTGTTTCCTCCCAAGTGAGGGGGTGGGAGTCAAACTTACGTATCTGTTATAGGTTTCACAGTGTTTGTTATGGGGTAAGGATGTCACATTGTGAATACGGAATCATTGTCATGTTTCTTTTTGATGTGTGGGTTACATTCTTTTGAATGGATGGACAGTAAGGCATGGACTTCATGCTGCTATCTCAAAGAAAATCTAAAATGTGCACAGGTACACTTATTTAAAAGGTTTTTTTGCCCATTCAGGAAACCATTGCTTGTGATCTGTAACACAGAAACCAAATGAAGTGTGTGTATACATGCATATCTGTGTATAAAATTATATGAAATATATCTAAATATGCATACGGGGATAGTTAAGGTAATGTCTGTGAAATAACATAGGCTGCTTTTCACATGCACTCTCGGAAGTCCACTAACACTAGGCACGACGTCATGTTTCAAGATTATTTGCTACACTAAAATTTCAATAGTTAATGGTAATCGCAACAGATGTCAGTTAGTGGCAGTCACTCCAACTTCTGTTTTGATTTTGACGCCAAATTTAGTTATGTTCCAATCATGATTAATTACTTGAAAAAATGAAATCACTTACACATGGCAATTCATAGGTTCTATAGATTAGGTTTCTTTGTATGGTTTTAGAAAGACAGTAGTAGCTGGAGAAAATCAGTTATTTATTTGTTCACTTATATTTGTATTTAGATTTTCTTTTACATACATACTTTTTATATGCTTTTTCTGACATTACCTATTTAAAAATAACTGAAAATAATTTAAAGATTTGAGCGTTAGTGGGAAATGGCCCACTTGCTTTGAAGATGTAAGATTTGATACTGTACTGTACTGTACTGTCACACACAAATGCTTTTCTAATGTTTTAATGTAATTATTGCAGTTAATACTTTGTACGAGGGGGATGTCACTGCAATAAAAGGAAGTTAATTCAATACAACTGTCTTGTCTAACAAAGCCTTTTTTATTTGTGGGGGATAGGGCATAATGTTCATAGTTTAACAGATTAATACTGAAAATAGCTCCTCATGTGAATGTTCTTATTGCATGCATGTTATACTTACCTTTATTGTGGAATTTGCATAGGACCCTGAGTAGAACTTAAAGTCATTCAGGTGTCTGGTATAAGGAGACAAGTATTTTGTTCCCAGAGGGAATGTTTGCCGCTGCTGGTTTAGAAACAGCAGTGGTTGCATAACAAAAATAAATTTTGTTTCACTGTCTAAAATTTGTCATGACTTGCCAGACAATGCCAACCAAACCGGAGTACATGGTATGTTTAAGCTGGAACATCAGTACCTGAAAATTTGTTCCTATTACATAGCAGTTTGTTTTGCCTTAGAATACAGGGAAGGACTGTCTAATTCCTCATATTGCCCCAAAGCAGTACTTCGCTGAATATGTAGAAGTATGCTGGGAAAATTACTTGCAACCAGTTGTTTTCTTGTATTGAAACCTGATACTTGGAACCACTGAAGAACTTTGTAACATCATCAATTTTAGTGTTTCCCAGTGTAGCTGGGTGACTGAGAATTTTTATTTGAAAATTAATAAATTCAGACCTCTACTATATATCCTTAATTTACTAAATATTTGTTGATTAAGTTTTTCCATGCATTTAAATCTAGGCCTTGTGAGTGAGGTTTGGAGGCCAGTGGAAAAGCAATGCTTCTTAAAAAGCACGCTGCCAACTTCTATGGCATTGGCTGTAACCTGTTTCACTATGTAAAGAGGTAGAGAAGAAGAAGGTATGTAGCAGGTTTTTTAGATCCTCCCGTTTGCTAGAGAAGTGATTGATCTAAAATCAATGGTTCCATTAGCTGAATTCAGAGAAGTGACTTTATTTCTGCTGTTGAAGCTCAGAAATGAAAAATAGGATCAAGGTTGATTTCACCACTTCGCTATGCAACAAACCAATGGAGGTTCACACTGCATAGTAACCTGTTTTAGTTTTATTTTGAAACAGAAAAGCAGGACTCCCTTAACCTTGGTTAGACCTTCATTAGTCTAGTTATACTTCTCGTATTACACCTGTGAGATCCTGTAAATCTTACCTCTACACCTAAAATCTGGTTTGTGTTCAGCTGGTGTGGGAGCTAGGTGTCAAGCCTGTGAGACTATGAAGGTACTGAATGGTGTTCTGTCAGTACCACTGCCTTTCTTGCTTTTGGTGCAGGAGGAAGACTCAGCATTTACCAGTGCATCATCAAATCTTTCTCTTGACAGCATGGTGTGGAATAGGTTTTCAGAGCAAAAACTGTGGATTAGGTTGATGGAGGCTGATGCATGCATTTAAGTGAGGGGGAAACAAGCTGGTGCAAATAATCTATTCATTAACTTTTGAACTAGCAGGGTAAGTGTTGAACCAGTAGCATACACTTTCTTAGCAGCAGGGTAGACCTTTCTCTTGAAACATACTGCACCTCATGTACCCAGAAGTTCATCTTGTAACGACAAAGAAACTACTCTCACCGTGGGGCTGTATACATCAGACTTGCTGACAAGGTGCACAACCAGGAGCTGTCCATGCAGCCAGGCATAAGTCAAGGCCATGCTGACTGCTTATATTCCTGTTCCTACTGGTGTCAGTAAGCACCAGTAGGAACTGTTGGTCTCACTCTTGATCTGCTTGCTCGCTCTCTCAGAAAAGGCTGGCTTTGTAGCTCCAGCTGTCTACTTCCCACCCTGCTGCCAGCCTGCCGCCCTTCCCGGCCTGCTCTGCTTATGCGGGTGCAGAGGTGCTAAGCCACCATCACACCGCCTGCGCAGCCGTGTTTACCTGCATATCACGATGTAACGGGAAGATGGGAAAATGGAATCGTTCACGATTTAAAATGTCACGCAATACTAAATTTAACTTTTTAATCACCCTTTCTCCAAAGGGCCCCATTTCGCACCCTTCGCACCCCACCGTCCCTCGCTCCGCGCTGTTAACACGCCCCCCCTCCTTCCCCCC